GACTTTTTTTTTTTTTTTGAGTTGGAATCTCACTCTGTCACCCAGGAGTGCAGTGGCATACTCATGGCCACCTCAGCCTCAACTTGCTGGGCTCCGGCGATCCTTCCGTCTCAGCCTTCCAAGTAGCTGGAACTACAGGAGCTTGCTACCATGCCTGGCTTATTTCTTGATTTACTGTAGAGATGATCTCTCACCGAGTTGCCCAGGCTGGTCTCCAACGCCTGAATTTAGGCAATCCTCTTGCCTTGGCCCCCAAAGTGCTGGCATTACAGACTTGAGCCACCGCACCTGGCCCGACGTATTTTTTTTAAGAGTTTCCAACTGAAAGATGTAGAGAAAAATATAAAGAGCTCAGAAATATATAGTTTATCTGAAGAGTTAGCTCATCTCCCATACTCCCTTAAATAACCTTTAAGCCTGTATTTTCAACATTGTATCAAAACCACGTGGCTTTAGCATAACACTTACTCAGTTTTCCTGTTGTGCATTTGGAGGAAATAAAAATTATTTTAGAGGAAAACAAAAATTGCCGCTTTCCTATCAGTTACTGCTTTTGAACTGCGTTTGCTACTTTTTAGCATAAAGTTGTACGCAGAATGTAAAAAAAACCGGTTTCAGACCACTTCAAAACCTCTCTGAAATTAAGCTCAATAGCAGAGATGCCAGTTTTAGTAATGCAGTTAGTTGTCTTGGAATGAATCCCAGAAAATAGCAGAGGTTAACTAAACAGATAAACCAGAAACAAGGAGTTGACACATCACACACACACATACACACACAAGTTGTCCAAGAAGTACGTACTATGAAATGTCAATATACCCTGTACTTTCTTTTTGATTAAAAAAATGTTGACTTGTTTAAGCAGACAGAGAATGATAGAACAGCTTTTGTTGTTACTTGTAATGTTTTACCTGTAACGTTACATTATTTGAAACTTAGTCATCACTAGTTAAGACAGGCTGGGAAATATTTCTGGCTCTTTTTTAGTGGCTTTGACTTAAGATAATAAAAGCAATGTCTTCCCACCCACATGTGCTTTGGTGCGCAATTTGGGAGGGTTGAATGGATTTGAAGTACTCTTTTCTAAACACGTTGTAACTTATTCTCAATGCCTTTTGCCTTTGGGCTGGAAATGCCAGCCGTCATCCAGGCATTTGTCTTTGCTCAACTTCTCTGGTGAAGTAGATGGCCATCTCCTTTGAAACGGAATGCTGAGTTAAGTAAGCTGTGTGTGGAATGAACAGGGAATGGTAGGACTCAAACACCCTGGGGGCCAGTCACTTGGAAGACACCTGAAGCAGTGGCTGGATCTACGGCTCATGGTCACGGCCAACTCATTCATGGCTTGGGAGTGCCATCGAGGTTGGCAAGACTCTATTCCTGTTTTGTCATGTGGGAACTTACTCTCTCACAAATTTACTGAGAAAAAGACAGTTACCTTTCACACTCAGACCACTATTAGAGGACCAAATCGATTGTGTTTCTGAAGTGCAATGTCTCTGTAAGGTCTTGGAAATAAAACCTAAAAGTATCCAGAAAAAAAAAAAATTTCTTGGCAGATATTGTACTGCATTTTTCACACTGAGAACCAAGCACACGTTGCTAAAAAAAAAAAAAAAAAAAAAAAAAAGGTCCCATGGAATTAAAAGTAAAGAAAGGGCTTCTAGTCTGCTCTAATTCTTAAGATTTTATGTGATTTACAAATTCCAATTTTAATTAAATTAGAAAGGTGCAAATGTTCACCTACTGGCCAGACTTCATACATACAAACCTTTTTGGAGTTTCTATTCAAATTTGATCTGTTTATAATTTGGAATATTCCTTCTCAAATACTTTTTGTGACTCAATAGTGATATTATCTGTTGTCTTTTCACACACATAATCTTAAATTTAAGCTATAAATCACATATAGCTAAATTTATATAACTATAAACATAATCTTTTAAAATTGTTGAACCATAACATATATATATAGAGAAGTGCATAAAACAAATTTATTCCTTGACAAATAATATAGCAAATCATTATACCAGGTGGATAAGGCAAATATCCCACTACTCACCACCTAAGAAAGAGAACATTGCCAAGGCCTGGAAGCTTCTTTCTTGCTCCTTCCTCATCACACGTTGAGCTTTACCTTAAAAAAAACAATGACAACAACAACAGAACCCAACTTTATGACTATAGTAGGCATTCTTTCATAGATTACTTGCTTAACATTATGTTTGTGAGGTTAAGCCATTTCTTCCCTTCAAGAGCAGAGCTGTCTATACTCCCTGTCTCCATCTCCCCTCTTCACATGTTCCCTTAAACCTGTTCCTGTTCATCTTTCATTTTCAGTACTCTGCTAAAACTGCTTCAAGGTCTACTACTGTCAAGATCACCGGCGACATCTAATAGTCCGTCGCCAGTGTTCTTGCTGCCCCTCTTGGCAGCATTGACAGTCATCACTTTCTGCGCCTTGAAACAGCTGCTTACCGAATTTCAGGATAACCTGTACTCTTGATCTTCCTCCTTCTCCACTAGTGGCCCCTTTCTATCTCTGGCTGGCCTGTCTTCTTTTCTCAGAAGTTTGGTGTGGCTTAAGTTTTAGCTTTTTAGAGTGCAGTAGGGCCTAACATGTAAGAGGTACTCGGTAATATTTTGATGGACTTGATTGAATTGAATTCATTGAATGCTATTGTTTGTCTATTTTCATTGCTGGTTATATTCCGTTATATGAATATAACACATGACTTTTAAAAATGGGTTCTTTTTTTTTTTTTGAGTTGGTTTCTCACTTTGTCGCCCAGGCTGCAGTGCAGTGGCACGTTCCCGGCCACCGCAGCTTTGACCTGCTGGGCTCTGGTGATCCTTCTGCCTCAGCCTTCCAAGTAACTAGAACTACTAGCACATGCTACCATGCCCGGCTAATTTTTGGTTTATTGTAGAGACGAGGTCTTGCCAAGTTGCCTGGGCTGGTCTCGAGCCTGCAGACTCAGGCAATCCACTTGCCTCGTCCTCCCAAAGTGCTGGGATGACAGACTGAGCCAACAAGCCCAGCCAAAAATTGATTCTGATTAGGGATGTTTAGTCTCTTCCCCCCCTCCCCCTCCCTCCCTCCCTCCCTTCCTGCTTTTGTTTTTTTGCTACTATAAGTAAAACAGCTGGGTTCCATCTACAAGTATCCTGATTCACAGAATGATCAGAGTATAAAACTAGTAGGCAAATTATGGGCTTGCAAGACTTGCAGACTTCAACTTTATTAGATAATACAACACATTTTTAGTGTGGTTTCAACAATTTCCATTCCTGTTTTATTGCTCTACTTAGTATTGTCAGAAAATCGAATTTTTGTCCATCTGGTGGATATGCATTATTATCTCATTTATATTCTTTGTTTTTATTTTTTTAGAGACAGGGTTTCTTTCTGTCACTCAGGATGGAATGCAGTGGGTGATCCTGGCTTACTGCAGTCTCGACCTCCTAGGCTCAAGTGATCCTCCATCCTTAGCCTCCTAAGTAGCTGGACTACAGGCATGTGCCACCACATTGGCTTAGTTTTAAATTTTTTTTTGGAAAGCTGGGGTCTTGCTGTGTTGCCCGTGCTGGTCTCAAACTCCTGACCTCAAGAGATCTCGGCCACCCAAAGTAATCAGATAACAGGCATGAGCCAACACCCCTGGCCAATATTCATTACTAATTAATTACTAATGAGATTGAGCCTGATGTCTGTGAGGATAGGCTAGGTCATGCTGCAATAACATGTAATCCCTAAATCTCATTGACTTAATAGACTTCTTTGTTCATGCACATCTCCTAGAGGTCAAGACAGCTCTCCAGGGCAGCTCTCCTCCATGTAGTAACCTGGAGATCGAAGTTCAGGGAAACTTCACAATTCTGTAGCTAAGTTCTCGGAAACACAGGACTTTCACATTTGGTGTGGTAGGGGAAGAAA